AGGCGAGGAATTTAATTGAAAGAAATTTAATTGAAATATACTAGTCTAATGCTTTTCTTACATGCTAAATTTCATTCTTGATTCACCCTTGTTTCTTAATTTCTTTTGATAGATTATTCCTACATTTAGGTTCTATTCAATACCCACCATCAAACTTACTTGTATTAACCTACACGCGTAATCCAGATTACAGATTACATATACATTGTCTGAAGCAACTGAATTTTAACGTTTACTGAACATTATATATTACTGCGTTTCTTACCTGTCTGTATGAGTCATATCGAAAGAGACAGCACGTATACATCTTTTATGTCGTCTGTGGCGGATCTCTTGTTCCGACAACGGCATTGAGCATAAGCGTCCCTAGTTTTACTGAAATTATGAAAAGGGATTGGTTGTCTTTCCATTATGTGGATATAGCTGTGCATTGAAAAGTAGTTTTCAAAGACTCACACCAAACCTTTTAATGTAACGATTAAACTGATACCATAATATTTTGGTGATGCTATACCTACTTGATCATCGTATATTGCAGTTCTACTTTCAATCCATGTTGATTAACATTTTTGATTTCATGGTCAATCAGTAAATAGCGTAAACTGTTTCCCTATGGTGGCCATTATCATCGCGGTCTTAACTGGCTAAATATCAATTAACTTATATTCTGTGCCTATAGAGTTATTTCGTAATATATTATTATACAGAATAACTAGTCACGAGATGGAAGAGACATAAAAAATACATATGAACTTACGACCAAATGACATCGTAGACTATCCCATTACAGCTCCCTTTACACCCACCCTCGCAAGCGCAGCCGAATATATTGCAGTCTCCTTTCCCACAGTAGAGACCTTGCCTCTGAAACAGGATCCATCCCCAGCGTAAATATGTAGAATGTTGACAAAAGTCACGAACTCAAAAAAGCAGTAGATTACTTTACATTTTAGGAGAGCAATAAAATTAACAGACGTCAATAAGTATGCTCCAAACAGGTACACGTAGGTTGAAATGTTTACATCAGGCTATGGATCTGTCTTGTGAAAAGGACAAACTATTATCAAAATGCTTGTCCCCGATTTTGATTTTACTTTTTTTAAAACAAAGTTTTTAAAATTGCAGCACCTAGAGAATGGAATAAATTATCCATCGATCCTAGAGAAAATTGTGTACCCTTGACATTTTAAAAAGGATTTTAGAACCTACATTTTAAAGCAATTTTATTTTAAAATTCTTGTTAGAATACTTTTTAAGAATAATTATCCTAGTTCATAGTTTCAATTTTCACCCTTTATCCAGTTTAAATATTTTTTTACATTTAACATTATTTCTATTATCATATTTCTTCTATTAATCTGACCATTAGTAATTTTCCCCATTTAATTGTGAAATTTATAAATTCTGTAAAGTCTATTGAATATACGTTGGATTTCATATTATAAATAAATAAATTATTATTATTATCATTATTATTATTATTATTATATTCTCAGAAGTGAGAATTATCCTTCCGTTGGTCACTGCCTAGATTGACACAATGATGGAAACAAGGTAGTGAGTTAATATTTCTTTCGATTTTATGTTTACAGGTAAAATGTGAACTGTGCGGAGTTAAAAAGAAATAATGTGCCTACATGAACGCTTAGAATACTTTGAACACGGATATAATATGAATACCACTTTACCTGTGTACAATCATTACAATATATTTTTGAAAGTCCATCCCGGCAGCAAACTGCATGCGATTCTTTGATGGTAAGAGTCGTTAGACTGATTGCAATCAGTATTGCTACAAGGCAACCGGCCATTATCTGAAAGAGTAAAACAACGACGGGGCCTTCTTATTTCATCAAATAACAATGAAAGTGAACAATTTTGTCAAATATATCTCACTGTTATCAAAATGTCAATTATTGTCACAAAACAAATCACAAAAAAAAAAAATCAAATCATGCTGACGAAGCAAGCTAACGAAACAAATCACCACTGTACCTGTACTCTGAGCTACAAGTGTTTTTAAAGGAAGCTCTTGCAAATACAGAAGAAAATATTGCTCCTCACCCTTGTCAGCGCTTCAAATTAAGCAATTGCTGGAAACTACTGGCTGTAATTCCTGTGTAACGCAGCGATGATGTTTAGGGCACGGCAGTTCAAGCTTTTATAATTTCAATCTGCAAAAGCTAATAGAATGTACTGGATGCGAAAAAGGTATGAAAGCACAACACCCATCCCTCTTTCTTTGTATTCATACCAGCAGCATTTCGAACAGATTAAAAAAAACACAACGGTTGTTAATAAAAACACACATGTTCCGTACTGCAGGCAAGTTACGCAAGTCACTGCTGCAGACGGCGTACAGCATGGGTTTTAAAGTTATTTAACATCATCTGATTCTGGTTTATCGGCCAAATTTAAACCGGCCATGATGAAAAGCTATTCGGTCGACAAACTGGCGTCCAAACTTTCTTGTTAACTTAAAGTTGAAAAATATGGAACGCTTCACGAATGTGTGTGTCATCCTTGCGCCAGGGGCCATGCTAATCTTCTCTGTATCGTTCCAATTTTAGTATATGTCCCACCGTAGTGAGGACACAACGTGGCACTCTTCGCCGTCTACATGTAGTGATGAAATACAAGATGGCGGCTCAGGTGAGTTGTTCTGTCAAAAATCATATATTCGCTTATTGTGCAGCCGATAATCATTTAGCTGATCGGCCTGAAACTTACAAAAACTTCCGATCAACATGGTAGACCATATTATGAGCAGCATGTTTTATCATTATTTAAACATAATATTTCAAACTAAAGTGTTTCATTTTTCAAATAAGTTCTCCGTAGAGTGCCTGCTACAATACAGATACTATGAATAACACACCAGACAGCTATTCCGAGTTTCAATAACAAACCATGTTTTCTTGTCAAGAAAGGACAGCGCCAGTCAAAGTATTTGCCCTTCTAAATGGTGGCTACCACTACTTGTGCAGATATATGAACATGTAATAATAAAGAACATAGGATTGAATGGGCACAACACAAGGCATTGAGTTTCAATGTAAAACATGGTTACAAAGTGCAAAGTCCCTCGGAATCACGTTTTTTTTTTTTTTTTTTTTTTTTTTTTTTTTTTTTTTCGATAAAGCTTTATATAGAGGATATAACACAGCCATGGATCCATGTAGACATATATTTACAAGGTATTCTGGGATTTATCCGTAATATTTGCAACCTTAAATTCATAACTGTTCATTTATCCTTATTTTGGAGTGCATTATAGTATGAAATAGATGAAAATATTTGGCAAGTAAAAATTGGGCACACATTGCTCAACATGAGCTCGTCACTGTGGCGCCTCAGGTGTTTGCTTTTATCTTTCTTAATTCTACTGAATTTTTAATTTAATTTTCAAAAATCATTTTCATTTATATTTACATATATTTGTTTATTCATTTGTTGTGTCTGTGTGTCCATTATCAACACCTACCTACTGTATAATCTTTACCTGTTTGCATATTCATTCAGTTTACAACGTTTCCAAGAATGTAGCCTTTTTGTTTTGTTTTTTCTTTCTTTTTCCCAATACAAAATAGATTTAGTTTGCTCATTTCAAAATACATTTCTTTGTTATATGTCTTACCCTGGAGCAGTCATAACAAATTGTAATCGAGATTATTTCGTCATAACACAGCTTGCGATCTTTCAAGTTATAAGTTATAACCTTCTGGTTATAAGTAGATCGTTTTCGGGTTAAAATATTTAGACAGTTTGCACGTACATGTATACGCGTTACGATATACATGTTAATGTATACTTTGTACTATATATATGTATAAGAAATGTAGAATTACCATTTTACATATTATAAAATAGACGAACCTGTAACCAATGCGTCGTAAGGCTTAATTACACGGTTGCATTTGCTGGGGAAAAAGCTTGCTGCATGAGAAAAAACCAAAAATATTACATTTACAATATACGGGCTGAATTCAACAGACTCGTTTCTAAGAATGAAAAACTATCAAGCCACTGATGCTTTGTATGCAAGCTGCGCAAACAAAAAACATACTGGTAGTTTGGAAATCGCTTTCCGTCACGAAGGTTTAGAAAAATAACATTTAATGACATTATTACAAAGCCCTAAAATGATCTACCCCAAACGCCTCTCAGGTTCACGGAATCAGAAACCGCATATAAAACGTAAAAAGATATCACCAAAATCCAGAGTTTATTAATTGCCAAATTTCCGATAATTCAAAAAGTAATATGAATGGGAGACAGTAGTTGAAAGTTCGACTTCTGTTTATGATAACTATAATTTTCGAATATTAATAATATGATTGGAATCAAACGTGATTCTCACAGCTTCTTTTCATGTGCATATTGTTCTGATATGGACTCCAAGAAAGTTTATTGTCTGAAAAACGAGCAAAAGACCATTACAAAATGGCATGAAACTATAATTGGATTGATTATTCATCTTCTAAGAAGAATTTGGCGAGAGTAACAGGATAAACAATTAATTTGAAATTTACTTGGTTTCTGAGTATTTTCTTACATGCGATATTTCATCCAAGTTTCACTGATGAATTACAGATAAAACTGATAGGTCCAATTAAATATCCACCACCAAACTTACTTTTGTAATCCTACAAGAGTAATTCCAAATTGAAACTTACATATACATTGTCTGAAGCAACTGAATTTTAACTTGTAGCTACACACACTGGGGAATAGAAGTGTCACCCCTACTGAGCCAAAACTCTGAGGGAGACAAATAACTGTGGAATGATATGCTACTGGTATCATTTTATTAACATCAAATTTCACAAAAAGATTTACAATACAACTCCATGGTACAGCGGTTTTATACTCATTAGTCACATTATAAGTAGACCGGGCATTATAACTTTGATTACTCTGATTCACGGGGTTACACTTCTATTGTTCATTGTGTGTATATGTAACATAATCCTCATTTTAGTACGTTTCTTACCCGTCAGTTTCAGTGATATCGAAAGAGACATCCCTAGCGACATATCCATCTTTTATTTTGTCTGTTACGGATCTCTTGTTGCGACAACGGCACTTAGTATAAACGAAACCACCTGAATCCATGCTGAAATGATAATAAAACGATTGGTTATTCTTTATCATTATGTGTGAAACAAATATAGGCTTACCTGTATACATTGAAAATTAGTATGCAAAGACCCACACATATCATTTGTACGTAATTGATGCCATAATATTTTGGTGATGCTACAGGTATATCTACTTAGTAATCTTTTATTGTAGTTCTCTTATCAATCATTGTCGATTCACATTTTTATTTCATGGCCAAGCAGTAAATATCTTTAAAAAAAAAACTCACTAGGGGCGCATTCAGAACAGATGATCCACGGACTAAACATGGCCAACCTTACTGCAAAAGCGATGCCGCTATATCATGATGGTATCCCAGGCTCCAGCTATCGCTCCCGGGGCCTAGCAATTAAACCTCCGTTTACTGGAATGCTTGGAGGCGGGGAGACCATCTCGAATCACCGGCATTTCTTTTGAAGTGGGAGCGGCCATATTAAGTCGGCGGATCTTTTTTTTTTAGATTAGATTAGCGTTGATTTAGCTCTTTGAGGGAATAGCTTGAAACAATTCCCTCTATTACCAGACTTGTGAATTACTGGACCATAATTTAATAAAATATCTAGTTGATTCATCATGTCTGTTCGGCGGCGAATTTTCTTATTCTGAATGTGTCCAGGGTTTAGCTTTTATTATTGCTGTCGTACCTGGCTAAATATCGATTAATTTATATATCATGCCTATAAGGTTTTTTTCTTAATATATTGTTATACAGTGTAGCTATAGTCACAAGATGGAAGAGATATACTAATGAAAATAGTTGAACTTACGACCACTTGGCATCGGAGACTATGGGATTACAGTTATCATCACAGCCACCCTCGCAAGCGCAACCGAATATATTGCAGTTTTCTTTCCCACAAAAGGAACCCTGCTTCTGAAACAAGATTCATTAACCCCGACTAAATATGTAGAATATTGATAAAACAGAACATTTCTGCAAAATTTCCCGGAGAACAATAAAATTAACAGATGTCAATAAAGAATGGTCCATCCAGGTACACGTTTGATTGACTTGTTAATATAAGCCCGTGTCTGATAAGACAGACAAACTTCTCTTACAATGCTTGTCCCAGGTTGTGATTTTAGACATGCCCTTCAAGAAATCGACGCCCCGAGGCACGTGTTTTTTTTTACTGTTTTTCCAGTCATGCCCATCGTAAACACTGTGTTGTCAAGTAAGATGAAGCGTCTGGTACAAAGTGGCGTCTCGAGGTCATGAAGGGATTAGCGTTACGATTTACTGCACATTTAAAGTGTTCAAAATTTACGCAACCGCTTGGGTTTAAATTTACAACACCTATTTTTCACATAATATCGCACCTATGTGAATGATTTGAAAGTTTTGGCTTTCATACTTTTTCTACAGTGACCATTCAAATTTGAAAAAGATCTATTTCCTGTCGATTCCTTGAAGGGCAAGTCTACCGTACAGAAGTAAAAATTATCCCTATATAAGTCACTGCCTTGATTGACACTACGGTAAAACAAGGTACGGTAGCTATAGTTAATATTTCCTTGATGTGCATATTAGCAGGTAAATTGTGCAAAGTGCGAAGTTTAAAAAAATAATGCGTCCCTATGCATCTTTAAATCCCATTCTTATACCTACAGGTAGATCGATCGAGCAGGATCGACCCATCTCCGAGGGGTTTGGCGATAAATTACATCCAGCTTTAGCGGCTCTGAGGTTTGACACGCCTATTTTAAGCTGTCGGGATAATAAACCATTATTTAGAAGCTTTACTAGACGTGTCAGACATCTAAGCCGCTTAACTCGAACGCAATTTAGAGAGAATCCCTTCGGAGATGGATCGATCATGCTAGATCGATCTACGCATGGGAAAGGGGTCTTAGATAGCCTTTAATATTGATATAATATAAATATTATCTTACCTGTGAACAATCGTAACAAAATAGTTTTGAGACTCCTCTATTGCAGCAGATACCATGCGATTCTTTAATGATGAAAGCCGTTAGACTGATTGCAATCAAAAAAGCAACAAGGTTACCAGCCATTATCTGAAACAGAAAAACGACGACGGAGTCTTGTTATTTCATCAAGCAACAGTGAATGGAAACAATTGTGTCATATACAGTCGATTATTGTCACAAAATATCAAATGACGAAGCATGCTAAGAAAACAAAATGCCTCTTTACCTGTAACCTAACCCTCTGAGCTACAATGTGAGTGTAATTTAAATGAAGCTCTTGCAAACTGAAATAAAATAATGCTTCTCACCACTATTACCGCTTCAAATTAAGCAATTGGTGGTAACTACTGGCTCCAGTTCCTGTGTAACGCAATAATGATGTAATTGGCACGGCAGATTAAGCCTTTATAATGACATGGACATTCTGCAAAAGCTATTAGGATATACTGGATGCAAATAAGGTATGAAAGCAAAACACCCAACATTCTTTGTATTCATACCAGCAGCATTTCGAATAAATTAAAAAAACAAAAGAGTCGTTTAAAAAACGTGTTTCATACTGGAGGTAATTCACGCAAGTCATTGCTGCATTCGGAGTGTTATATGCGTTTTAAAGTTATTAAACAGCAGCTTATTGTGTATTATCAGCCTAATTAAAGCTTGGGTCACACTGCGCTTGCATTTGCCAACCTCTTTGCAGCCTCAGTCGCAAGGAGGTTGCCATAGGTTTTAAAGTGGTCGCTTAAGGTTGCTAATAGGTGGCCTGCGATCGTTGACACATGAAGGCCATTTTTTGTTCACCGACAACCAGTGCGACTTAAGATGAAAATTATCGGTATCCTAAAGGTTGCCTATCGGTCTCTTCTTGGTTGTCAGTAGGTTGCTATAACCAGTAGCATAAATTTTGCAACTGCACGGTCGATTGAGCGTATTTAGTCGACTGGTCGCTTTCAAGTTTTTTACCAGTCGCAAGTAGTCGGCAGCAGGTCGCTAGAAGGTTGCAGTTGTAACTGCATGGTCGATTGACGGTCTTTAGTATCTTGGTCGCTAACAGGTTTTTTTACCGATCGCAGGCGTTCGAAAATATGTCGCATGAAGGTTGCAAGCGACTGCAATAAAATAGGCGTAGGATGGCGGTCTATTTGGGCAAAGACATTTTTCATAATTTGTTATGTAAGCCTTCTAATTATCAAGGTCATAAATTATAATATTTTAGAAGAAGAAAACATAAATTGCATTTGTTGGCAATATTTTATACCAATTGCCAAGGCTTTCATATACCAGGTATTTCACACTTACGAAACCAAAAAAAAAAAAATGTGGTGATAAAAGCAATGTACGATTTTTTGACGCTACGTTTATTTATTTTATCATTTTGCGAAAATCATAGGTAAAACCTCAATTATATATCGCTGTATGTTATTTAAAATTTGCAAAGCCATGTTATCAGAGTACACAATGGAACAAATACACGAATGCAGAGAAACGGAAAATAAAAGCAATTTAATCAGCAAGGTATAACTGCTATTTTATATCATAATTTCAACAATCAAAATTATCCACAAATAATTGAACAAATCGTTAAATGTGTCCAATAGACTTAAATAAAAATAGTTTCAACACAAACAATTTAACATCTTTCCAGTGCTTTGTATCCTCACTACAAGGATGAGAGTGTAAAAAGCATGACTTGACACGATTTAATTACGTTGTATTGTAAGTGGCAAACGCCTAGGGTTAAAAAGAAAAAGGGAAAACCACACATTCGGTTGCAAATCAGTTGCAAAGCAGTCGGCGACCTGTTAGCAACCGGCTGGATACCACAAGTAGGTTTTTCGGTCGCCAGGAGGTTATCGGTGCTGCACCGAAAACCGGCGCAACCGGATATTAATCCAGCGTTCATTTGGAAACCACTTTGCGAGTTGTTGCAACCGGTCACCGACCTTTTTGCAACCGGTGATAGTTGCAAGTCGCAAAGAGGTTTTTTGTTCAGTGTGACCGTAACTGAACAGGCCTTGCGACCTCAAAGAGACCAAGTATTTGACCAAGAAAATATTAAAGAGTATTATGAGATTAATAAGGATTAAAACGTATGCAAGTTTATGTTTTTATTACAGCACTGGTTTCGTTAGGTGAGGGTGTAGTCTTTTCAAAGGTTCACAAAACATTGTTGGTTCTATTTTTAGGAAGGAAATGAAAACTTCCCGATTTTCATGACGAAGTTTTTTCATCAAATGTTTGTAATCGCCTTACAAGGGGCGTCTTGCAATCCACGGGTTTTCGAGTTTTTTTACTCGTTTTACTTATTAGGTAATCAAAGTCAATGGTTATAGCAGTCCCGTCTTTTTGAAAAGGAGTCATTTTACTAGAACATTTTTGTCTTTTGAGAGGGGAATTTATGGGAAAGCAGCTACAAGTTGGCAACATATATGTTCTGTGCGACTTTGCTGCTACTAGTTGACAAGCGATTGCTACAGTCATGCAACCGGTTTTCGGTCACCAAGTGGTTGCAGACAGGTTGTGTATCGCTCGGCAAACAGTGTGCGGCTGGCAACCAATAACTTGAAGATGGTCTATAAGAGGTTGCAGACCCCATACTGCAACCTTGTTGCAACCGGTTTGCGACTGCTTGCCGACCAAAATTGGCCATAGCTTCTTAATTAGCTTGCAAAGTGATCGCAAGCGACCGCCAGATTTTGTGGTTGCAAAAAGGTTGCAAAAAGGTCGCAAGCGCAGTGTGACCCGGTGTAACATGAAAATCTGACTCCCATGAAAATGTGACTCCCCAGTCAGATTTTCATTATGAAAATGTGACTCCCCAGTCAGATTTTCATAATGAAAATCTGACTCCCCCCATGAAAATTTGACTCCCCCTCCACAAAACTTCATACATCTTATTTTATTTGAGTATATATCTGTGATCTTGTAGTATGTAAAATGGATGATACGTTGGCACATTTTTAGTAGTTTGCAGTGAAAATTTTAATGAAAAAATAAGAAAATTAAAATTGAGCAAATAATGAAAATCTGACTCCCCCATGAAAATTTTATTTATGAAGATTTGTGGCAGGGGAGTCAAATTTTCATGGGGGAGTCAGATTTTCATTATGTGCACATTTTTAATTTTCTCGTTTTTTTATTAAAATTCTCACTGCAAACTACAAAAAATGTGCCAATGTATCAACCATTTTACATGCTACAGGATCACAGTCATATACTCAAAATAAAATAAGATTTATGAAGTTTTGTGGAGGGGGAGTCAGATTTTCATTATGTGCTCATTTTTAATTTTCTTATTTGTTCATTAAAATTCTCACTGCAAACTACAAAAATGTGCCAATGTATCAACCATTTTACATGCTACAGGATCACAGTCATATACTCAAAATAAAATAAGATTTATGAAGTTTTGTGGAGGGGGAGTCAGATTTTCATTATGTGCTCATTTTTAATTTTCTTATTTGTTCATTAAAATTCTCACTGCAAACTACAAAAATGTGCCAATGTATCAACCATTTTACATACTACAAGATCACAGTCATATACTAAATTAATTAGAGATTAATGCATGTTTTTTTGTAGGGGAGTCAAATTTTCATAGGGGAACCACATTTTCATTATGTGCACATTTTTAATTTTTCTTTTTTTATGAAAAATTTCACCTGCAAACTACAAAAAAATGCCAATGTATCATCCATTATGCATACTACAAAATCATAGCCATTTACTCAAATAAAATGAGATTAATGAATGTTTTTTTGGGGGGAGTCAAAATTTCATAGGGGGAGTCACATTTTCATTATGAAAATCTGACTGGGGAGTCAGATTTTCATAATGAAAATCTGACTGGGGAGTCACATTTTAGGGGAGTCAGATTTTCATGGTACACCGGCCTTAAAATCGCCCCTGATCAAAAGCCATTCAGTCAGCACACTAGTGCCCGAACTAGCTGGAAAAACCCCTTTGTATCAGTATAGTCAAATTAAGGCACAGAGAGTTGTTCATAATATATTAGTATATTGAGACCTGGCGACTCAAAAATGTTTAAAAGAAAATGCTGGAAAAGGGGAATCTTTAACAAAAAATGTCGTGATAGAAATATTCAGGCAGAATCGTCACCAAAGTCTCGTTCTGACTAGGTCACCATGGCTTGAAAGGTGAAAGCTAAGTTTATGTAAGAACACACCGTGCTCGGTTTGCAAGGTTGCAAGCCAGAAAATCGTTTTACTGATGCATGGAGTCATGCACATGCGGGACGTTCACCAATGTACCGGTAATATACACAAACCAGCTGCCTGGACTGAATATGTGTACAATTAATTGTGCCAGGTGTCAAAGGAATGGTACAATGAAGTCCACTTTGAACCGTAGTCCGCTTCCCCATTACTTTGTACAGGTGGCATTCGGCCCATACACCTGTACTAACCCCAACCTTACGACTATCCCTAACCTGTACTGATCATATGGAACCGGTGTACAGGAATGGAGGTCCGCTAAGAACCCTAGTCCGCTTCCCATTACTTTTTACAGGTGCTATTTGTCCTTTATATGCTAACCCTAACCTGCAGTAATCATATGGGAGCCCGGACTTCCATTACTAAACTTTGCATTCCTGTTACACCGAACTTCCATTTCTAGGACATTCCAGTCACACTTTACAACCTAGGCAGATCTTTGTCAGTATATGCTGGAATACAGTTTCTATAAATAGCACATCAGACATCCATTCTGAGTAACAATAACAAACCATGTTTTCTTGTCAAGAAAGGACAGTGCCGGTCAAAGTATTTGCCCTTCTAACTGATGGCTACCACTACTTGTGCAGGTAGATGAATATGTAGTAACAAAGGGAAGTTTGGCGTAGTCAAACGTTTATTTATGGCGACGGTCTAATACTTCACAAATTTGCTTGTAGCCTCGGATTCTATGCTACACAATTTGTTAACATTTTGCTTTAGCCTCGGATTCAACGCTGCATCTGTTGTGATCAGACACCCTGTCCAATCACGGACGAGGGTTTCACTTAGGTTCGCGCCTCAGCGTTTAACCAAACGAGCGTTACTATTCCTTCTCACTCTGC